TGGATGGATGGATGGATGGATGGATGGATGGAGCAAGTTAAACTTTCTTTACTGGAAAATCCTGAAAACATTATCTTGCCTAATCCCCTGTCTCAGCACAGCCAAAGCAGTGTTACTTCATTTTCCCTAATTGTAATGCTTCTCTAAGACCCACCTTCTACTGTAAATCAGTTCAAGAATCTAATCGCTGATTTCAACTCTAAGTAAAACTGTATTTCCTTCTGTTGTAATTCAGAGCCATTTCTTCATTCTCAGTCCTTTGGCAGTGATGAAAACTAATCAGGCCCAAGATAAACGAGGCTTTCATCATAAGCACCGCAGAAGCTTGAGTCTGGGTAGAGGAAGGTAGCCATTCCCAACCAGAAGAGGGTGGGGATGTGGACAAGGTTAGAGTAGGGACTCTGGTGACAGGTAAGTGGGAGGGAGGGATCTGGCTAGTGGCTCCCCGGGTAAGGTTTTTGAGTGATGTGTGGAGACCCCAAAAGGGTCTCATACTGCTGCCAGCTCGGGAATGGTTTCTGGGGTGACTGGGAGGGGAGGGGATGCTGAGCCAGTTACCCATGTGCCTGCTGAGCAGGTAGTTGATGGCTGTCAGGAGGCAGGTCTGCAGGAAGAGTGTCACCGCCGCAATCACTATGCCTTGCCAGAGGTTCATGGCTCTGTTGGGAAAGGGGAAGGGCCAAGGTCAGAGATTGCCGAGATGTTACTACAATTGCAAACATATCCCTTGCCAGAGGCAGACATCTGGCATTGCTGTGTGTCCCAGAGCAGATCCCTTTGCCTCTCTGTGCAACACGGCTGGGGTAGCGGGGAGGGTGGTAGGCAGACTTGGGAGCCAGTTGTGCCAGTTAGCTTGTCTGAGACCCTGCTCTGGCTTTTCTTGGACCCACTCACTCTGACAGCATGGTGGGTGAGCTTCTCGCTCGTAAGTGGGGCTCAGGCACTTTCTGGAACCACCCTGGTGTCTCTTCTCCAAGTGGTGCCACTGGCAGGACTCCCCTGGAGATCTGCAGGAGGGAAGTCAATTGGTCAGGAGTCCTGCGCTCTGTGCCCACATTGCCTCAGGCAGACTTGGGTGCACCGGGGTTGTTTGCTTTCCTCTCCTCAGATTTGTTTTTGAATCTGTAAAATAGGCAGTGACAACATCAGTACCTGAGAGCCAGTGGGTGCTAGTCAGTGTTGGTCACGGTGCTGAGCCCCGGCACCCCTACCCTCTTACCCTAATCACACACAGCTCTATGAGACAGCTGAGCTCACCCTCCTTTCCTCACCAGCGAAGGAGGCTCAGGGAGAGGAGTGACGTCTGAGATCAGGTCTGCATTTGGGCTCTTAGACCACAGCCAAGTTCTAACTATTCCTCTCTGCTCGTGCCTTCTGCGAGAACCTTCGCCTGACGCTGGAAGGACAGAGGGGCCCTCCTTGGGTAAATACACTGCTGTAGATTCCTTAAAGATGTCCAAATATATATATATATTTTGGACAGAGTCTCACTTTGTTACCCTTGGTAGAGTTTGTGGCATCACAGCTCACAGCAACCTCAAACTCTTTGGTTCTCAGCCTCCCAAGTGGCTGGGATTATAGGTGGCCAACACAACGCCTGGCTATTTTTTCTATTTTTAGTAGAGATGGGTCTCACTCAGGCTCAGGCTGGTCAATCTTCCTGCCTCAGCCTCCCCAAGAGCTAGGATTACAGATGTGAGCCACCACGCCTGACCAAGAAGTCCACATCTTAAATGCCCCCCACACACTGCTTTATTGTGCTGTGGATGCTCTTATACCTTCAAAAATAAGTTTATTTTTAAGAAAAACAGTTTATGAATTCCATCAATATGTTGCCAAATGTGGAGTTTTCTATAAGCGGAGTCATAATGACTTCCAAGGCTTTGAAATACTATTTGCTGAGCACTGAGATGAGGTCCTATCCACCCTCCTCCTGCACCCCTGTAAACCACTGGGGGGAGCTGGGAGGGGAACAGGTACTGACAAAGAAGTTGGTCAAACTTTAATGTGCATAACCTGAGGGATTCAAATGCAGGCTCTGATTTCTGGGCTGGGCTGGGCTGAAGCAATGCGCACTGCCCGGGCCACGCAGCCCCCAGCCCCCACGGCCTCCATCGTTCATTATCCCACATTCCGCTGCCACGCGTGCACAGTATTTCGCCCCCACTAATAAGGGAGAACGTGTGGCATTTGTCTTCCTGTCAGACTGTAAACCTTAAAAAGCCTTTAACCGCCTTAAGGCTCCTTTTCCCACGCAGGGTTCTGTGAGAAGCCCGAAATTTTTGTTTTTGTTTGTATGTCTCACACCCAAGTTTCCTAGGATCAAAACGTGTCAGAAGAGCTGGGAAAGAGGCAAGGGAATGACGGGAAGGGACAGTGTGGGGTTTGAGGTCACTGCCCCTCCTGTATTGGCTAACCCACCCCCAGCCTTCACAGGGCAAGGAGCTAGTCCTTGGGAATGACTTTTCTTTGGAAGAAGGCCAAACTCTGGGAGTGCCCTTCAGGGGTCACTCATATGCCCACTTTACTCATCACAGCTTTTAATCCCTCTCTTTCCTACGAGATAATTTCTGACACTTCTCCCAAAGGACTCTAATTCTACCTTTTGCTTTCCACTTACGTGAGCAGAATACACCTAACATTATCATTACCAAAGATTTCTATTTAGTTTGGTTTATAAAAGTGAATTCAGAATCCAGATGTGAGTAACCTTGTACAGATTCAGCATGTGAGAAGGGTGGGTGGGGGCATGTTCTGGATGGGAGAATCCCCCTTCTCCCATCGTCCCAGTACATACCCTGCAGTGCCCAGAAACACCACAAGTCCTTAGGTGACTTTTCTTTGGAAGAAGGCCAAACTCTGGGAGTGACACATACCCAGTTATCATCACATTTTTTAATCCCTCTTTTCCCTACATTATAATTTCTTTTTCTTTATTTATTTTTTGCTGTTTTGGCCAGGGCTGGGTTTGAACCCACCACCTCCGGCATATGGGGCCGGCACCCTATTCCTTTGAGCTACAGGCGCTGCCCAGCCTACATTATAATTTCTAACCCACAAAGAAAGCTCAGTCGGAAGTGACTTGTGCAAAAATAAAAAGTGTAGAGCCAGCATGCTGGAGGTCAAACATACACATGAGCCAGATGAAGCTGGAAGGGGGCTCTTCAGGAAAAGCAATGATCTTGAAGGATTTATCAAAAAAGGGGCATAAATACGCATGTATTTAAAATAAATTTCAGCACAGATGTTCCTGCTGGAACAACTATGTAAGGGAGGTTGGACTTGATACAGAGAACTTAATGGCATCACAAAAGACACAGAAATTGTGGAAAGGGGCTAGAAGCCAGGCCAGTATGTTTGGGAAATCAACAACATTCCATTTTTAAAGGAACTCTAGCACTTTGTTAGTTACCTGACAGTGAACATCTCATTTGTCCTTATTCACCAAAACAATTCTCTCCTTGAAGGGGATGGCTGGTAAACTAGGGCTGTGTTCTAATATCACACTCAAAGTTTTTAATTTTTTAAGGCTCCTTTCCTGATTTATTGAAACAACACAATAGATATTTGTAGAAGAAGTAAAAATATAAATAATAAAAGCATTTTATAAAATCATCTTTAATCTTATTCTGTATCATTCCACAAAACTTTCTAAAAATGTTCATGAACATACATACTCCATAAATGTGTGAGTGTGCAAGTATGTAGGTACACATATATTATCTTTTTAAAATATGAGATTAAAGTATTAGTAGCTTTTTCTTCACCTAATATATCATAAATGTGTTTTCTGATCAGAAAAACTTCCCTTAGAAGGCCCTGATTTGGGGATCCACAGGCCAAATGTGGCCCCTAGATGATTTTTGTTTGGTGATGTGCTTTAAAAACTTGAATTTGGGCAGTGCCCATAGCTCAATGGGTAGGGCGCTGGCCACATGCACCGAGGCTGGTGGGTTCGAACCCGATACAGGCCAACTAAAACAACAATGATAACTGCAACAACAACAACAACAAAAAATAGCTGGGCATTGTGGCGGGCACCTGTAGTCCCATCTACTTGGGAGACTGAGGCAAGAGAATC